AAATGGGAGTTAGGATGGGATCTGGGGTGCGAGATGTGTAAGACTTATGAGCTGAAAGGGGAGCTGGGTGAGAGGTGTGATGTGTGCTGGTGTGGGAGCTAAGGATGGACGTGTGGTGGGAGTTGCAGTGGCAGTGGCAGTGGCAGTGGCAGTGGCAGTCGCGGTCGCGGTCGCCGTCGCGGTCGCAGTCGCGGTCGCGGTCGCAGTCGCAGTCGCAGTCGCAGTCGCAGTCGCAGTCACAGTCGCAGTCACAGTCACAGTCGCAGTCGCAGTCGCCGTCGCAGTCGCCGTAGTCGTCGCATTCGCTTTTCGCTGTCGCTGTCAGCACTCGACGTGATCCCGCGCGCCGAGCGATGCCTTCCAACGAAGTCGTCGCGCGCCACCCACGCGCAAATTTGACGCGCGGCGCCGAATAAGACGCCTACACACAAAGGAGGAGCTTGCGGTGCTCGATACTCCCTGAACCTAGCGCTGGTAGGGGGCGCTGCTCCACCGCCATGGTCCTCCACCTCCACCGCCAAGAAATAAAGCAGTGAACTTAACCCTAGTTAGAAAGGCGACGTCTGCCAGACGACGCAAGTGCCGAAGGTTTCCTCGCCTCTTTCCCCTCACCCCCCCTTGCTGACACTCTGTGTATCTTCATTGTGTTACAACTGCCCAGTGTAATACACGTATCGTTGTGCGCGTGGACATTTCAGGTATACGTCATTTTAACACGCGTCGTCCAGTAGACTACGCCTTTGTAGTTATGTAAGTGATATACACTGATGAGCCAAAACTCTGGTACATTTGCCTTGTACCGTGTAGGGCCGACGCCAGCACGCAGAAGCGCCGTAACAAGACGTGGCATTAACATGACTAATGTCAGAAGTAGTGCTGGACGTACTTGACACCATGAATCCTGCAGGGTTATCCATAAACTTGTAAGTGTACGAGAGGGTGGAGACCCCTTCTAAAAAGCACGTTGCAAGATATCAGAGACATGCCTAATAATGTTCATGTATAGCGATTTTGGTGTCCAACATAATTGTTTAAATTCAGAAGGATGTTCCTGGAGTCCTCTGTAGCATTTCTGGTCGCGTGGGAAGTCCTGCTGGAATTTACCAAGTCTGTCGGGATGCACAAAGTACAGTAAAAATCATATCTAGATTCAGGGATTGTATCGGGATTCCATTTCATTCCAACTGCACATGCCCCATAACACCACAGAGCCATAACTTGAACATATGTTGGCATGCAGGGTCCCTGGATTCACGAGGTTGTCGCCATACTTCTTCACGCCCATCCGCTTGAAACATGTGCAGAAAGTCCAAGCAAAGTTTTTCCAGTCATTAACAGTTGAATGTCTGTGTTGATGGGCCCAGGTGAGGCGTAAATATTTGTGTCGTACAGTCATCAAGGGTATGCGAGTTATCATTTGGCTCCGAAACCTCATATCAATAATATCTCTTGAATGGTTTGCACGCTGACACTTGTTGATGACCCAGGATTGAAATCTGCAGCAATTTTCGTAAAGGTTGTACTTCTGTGACGGGTAATGATTCTCCTCAGATCCGGGAGACGCCGCGTCGTTGGATGGGGTGCCGACGTTTCGCCTGACATGTCGCAGGCTTCCTCAGGGCAGTGACGGCACCCCAGCCAACGACGCGGCGTCTCCAGGATAGCCGAGAATTTATGAATTCGAGCCGCGGAAACTTAGGTATACATCTGATATAGTCGTTGCCGGCTGGAGCACCTTATTCTGATTGGTTCTAGATCTCTTTACGCATGGATATGTGAGTTTCTCGGCTCGGTGTATCTGGCGTTATATTGGCTAATATTGTAACTAATGATTACAAACTACTTGTGTTGTAGCATTTAAGTTTTGTTCTGAAAAAATCATAATAGGAAAATTTCAATCTTAAGAATGATCGAATGACGAGGTACTTCTGAGATCGCTTCTCAAAAGCCACTTATGGACCACACCTAGCAAGTGTCTGCTGTGAGAGTGAAGTTATTAAGATGCATTTATAAAAACCTGTATATGTATTTCATAACTCCATATATGTTCAATCCATTAAATTTAGTATTTCATAGTAAAGAGTTTTTCTTTATATTTATCGAAAGTAGCCTCTCTGACTACGCCCTTCTAATAACGCTTGATACAGGTCGCCTTGCAATGGTTAATGTCACAAAGCCGTTCTATCAGGTTTTGTTTTGCGCTATCAGTGAATTCGCGCGGTGGCCCCGAAAGGTCGCGAGTGCCCTCTCCGGCGTGTGCGTGCGTGGAGAGGGCGCGGGGCGAAGTGCAGGGTGACGGGTGTCAGAGAGGGCGAGTCTGTGGCGACGCGCGCGGATTCCTGCGCCGAAGCGGGGGAGAGGGGGTGCGAAGTGGGGGAGCAGGGGAAGATGAGGAGAGCAGAGTTGGAACGAGAAAGGCAATGCGTCGTCTGGAATTATGAGTCCCAAAGTCCTCCAGCAAACTAAACTTTCCTCCAGACTCATATTCTCAAATGCAAAGGAGCAAAGAATGGCCGTTAAGCTAAACGCGACGCCTGGCCATGAATGTGAACGAGTGGATGTGAATTAACTTTTCTAATACGTTTTTACAGGCAAATTTTAATATTATCCCGTGGCTAAAATGTATGAAGTTTTCAATCAATGAAAGCATATCAAACGAAATAACAATATACTACATCTGCACATGGGTTAAAACATGTTTATTTTGCTTTGACACGGAGTATTTACAGTAATGTTTGCAATGATTTCAAAATCAAAGCCTCAAAATTATTTGACTATATTTGTAAATGTACGATTGTAACATTTAAATATTTGTATAATGTTTTTTGTCAAAGTGTTAAACACAAGAATTACATTTACAATGAATTTCAGTGATGTAATATTTTCTTTATAAATCTGGTAATTTCAGTTCTTTTACGCAACCGACATCAACTGTACTAGTAATTCTCCTAAAATAATTAAAATTACGGTGTCAAAACAATAAACACATCACTACCTGAATTGAAAAAAATTAGGACGTTTTCTTCAAAAAACTTGCTTGCATTTACAGTAAGGCAAAACCGATGCTCACTACTCATTTTTCAAATTATATGATAGAAGAAAGCTAACGTTCACAAAACCGAACGTTTCTAACATTCAAAAACACAATTACAATAAAAATGCATATTTTCATGCCATTAAATGAGAAGTGTCTGAACAGCATGAACATTTCAGTTTAGCATGGATAATAACACATATGGTCATCTTACTCAAAACACGTTAAAACAAAACGCTTCTCTCAAAGAATACAGTTAAGTATCATTAATGAAAAACTAATGGTATTACTCTAGCAAATACTTTCTTACATTATTCCTCAATTTGCAATTTGGGAAAATTCACAGAGTTCAACGAAAATGAGACCTGCACCATTCTCTCGTAAAAATCATTCACGCTATCAGAGGCCAAACTTTAAACCAAATATTTTGCGACATTTTTTAGAAATTTTTTAAAGTGTTTAGGCTACTTGAAAAGTATATCAAAACTCAAAATATCCGTTTCCAACTCAAAGGCTCTAAAATAAGTTCAATCGATAGAGGAATATCAACTTAATAGAAAGTTAGCTGAACGGTTTAGGGGCTAGCTTTGATCAAAAACTGATAGACGAACGAACCGCCCAACAGAAGGACGGTCAGCCAGCCAGAGGGACGGACAGACGGACGTACTAATTAACTGACGGTCACGCAAACGAAACGACGGACGGAGGACGCACGGCGGACGCACAGACGTTCCGAGGACAGATGTTTTGCCATCAATCGATTTTCCGGTATCATGGACCCAAAACTACTTTTACAGGATTATATATATATTATATATATATATATATATATATATATATATATATATATATATATATATAATATGAAACAAGATTTATCCACTTTTTTGTTACCAGGACCCGGTAATCAGACATTTTTAGTGGAAAACTCCGCCGTTTTCAGCGCACGAGTACAATACTTTCACCTTTTACGAAGTAACGGCGAGAAAGCCAAAATTGCTACTCAGCTGTTGTTTGAGAACTCCGAATCATGTCGGCGTAGTCAGGGGCAAATCCAGCCGATCATTTTGGACGGCCATCTTAATTTTGTTACATATGATGATATTTCTTATTATATTGTATATTATTTATGTCCTGTAGATTTGATCCTATAGAATTATTGTTAAAAAAATACATAATTCGACCATATTGAATATTTAATCTTTTTCCAAAAAATGGAAGGTAAACGAAAACTCTAGGGGCTTTTCGGTGTGGTTGGGGGGGGGGGAGGTCCCCAGAGCCACTCTGATCCGCCAGCGGGTGCCGTGCATCTTCGGCGTGCGTCCATTTTGGTGCGGGCGCGCACCCTCGCGCGCGTGCGACGCAGCCCAGATAATAAGCCTCGCGCGGCGTGTAAGCATCATAACGCGGCGGCTAACTATACCGTATGTGTTATACGCCGCCGCCCTATCGCGCCCGCAGTTTATGGGCGGACTGTCTGCACGCGCAGGGAGATACCGCGTCTCGTAGTTTAATCTGCCGCCCCGCGCCTCGCCTCTGACCTCGCCCGCGCCCCCGCCACGCCCCTTCCGCCGTCCTACCCCCGCCCAGCGGTCGTCCTCTGTTCGCCCCACCCCACATTCCCCCAACGCATCTTGTTTCTGCGGCATCTCGTCAAACCGAAAACAATCATTCACTAGACGCTGTTTTCACGGTAAACCGTATCAACTCTTCTTTCTGCAACCTCACTATTGTCATCCTACCATTTTTCTCTCTACTTTCCCCCTACCTCTGCTGTTTCATTTATCGTTTACACTCCTCCACTACCACCATCCGCTCCATATTCCGCTATGTCCACCTCGTAACTCTCACTCATTTATCAGCATTTGCTCATTCCCGTCTCTCCCCGCCTATTGTGCGGGCTTCCACAGCGCATACACGCTAACACGGCCCCACCCGCTCGCTCGACCGACCGACTTCTGGCGCGCTAACATGAAGTTACTGGCTGCAGCCGCAGCGGCGGGCGAAGAGATTTCGCGCATTTCTCTGTTTTAATGAGGGCCGCAGCCATAGGTCTGGATTGCGCCGCCAACGCCGACCCGGCACCGCTTTGCAGCTCCATCGCGCGTGTTTTAAGCGGCGCCCGCGACACGCGGCCGCTGGCGCAGCGCGTTCTGTGACGCGACGCCGCGAAATTAATAGTTTATTTAATTTACGCCCACGCGGCGATGAGCGCTAACAAGCTGGCCCAAGAGCGCCGCGTCTCGGCGCGGAGGTGAGCACGGGAGTGAGGGGTGAACGGACGAGATAGGAAGGTGGAGTTCAGGTAATGCCTTATTTTTACTTGGCGAGACTCAGGCCCACTCTTCCGTCTGACCACGCAAATTTTGCTACGCTCCTTAATCCATCCAGCGGAGAAATGAGGTATTATCTCAGGCGACGAAACAGGTGATTTTCAATTTAGCTCTGTTAGACTTGAGGTTCTTTTACAAGCAGAAAATCTACTACCTGGGGCAGCCGTATTTACTCTCCTCCGAACGAAGGATTTTTTCGCACATAACAATCCACGGCATCGATTGTGTTTGAACCCGCAAACTTTGGTATAAGTCTGATAAACTAACCGTTTTACCGTCTAAGACGTAAATACTGGTGTTGTATAGGCTATCCGGGACAAGCCGCGTCAACGTCACGCTAGCTAACGTTTCGGACAGCGTATTGTGGCCTTCTCCAGAGCGCACAGCAGTACTCTACACTGAATTTTCGAAAATCGTAAGTAACACGTACTGCAAGAAAGTATGTGCTGCGGTAGCTCCACTAGTTCTTTTATATTTCCTTATTTATTTATGACATTAATACGGATGTCAGACAATAGTAAATAAAAAGCTTTATTTCATATGTAATCCATCATTGACTAATAAAAAAAGTGATAAACTTGTTCTCGATCTTGAGGTCTGCGCGCTAGAATTAAGCAGTTAACAAAGCGCTCCGGCGAGCCCTCAGGGCCGTCCAAGGGCCTCCGCGCGAAGGGCGAGGACGAAGGCGCTCGGCAGCAGTCGCGTCGCGTTGTGTCGTGTCGTGTAGTGTCGTGTTGTGCCGTGCCGTGCCGTCCGCGCGCAATCATTTAGAGGCGCGATATTATCGTGATGAAATTCCCTGGCTGGAAATTACGCGCACTGAAATTGCTCTTGAAATAAAAACACGTCCAAAATTGAATTTAGATTGAAAACCTGTAGTTAATCTCGCTGAAAATTTAACTAAATGCTTTGCAGAAACGAGTTTTTTACTGTTGTCCCACTAGTAGCGCGATCACACTGGTACTATGAATTTATTACAATGGCCCCACAGTAAGTGAATCCATTTGGACGTACTTTTAGGATTACGAAAGACTTTTTCCGAATGTAAGTTCAATAGGAATAATACATAGGCCAAACAAATATATTTTTTTGATTTTTTTCTTCAGTTGACAACTTATCAAATAACTAAATTCCATATTTTAAAGTTAATTATATTCCAAATTGTATAAAATCAATTTATTCGTGCAGCAAAATCATTCCGGGATTTAAATACATGTGGTTGTCATAATAAAATATTACAAAATTTAAGCAACACTGACGATTACAGTGAATTTTGTAATTTAAACGAACGTATTGACTTTTTAATTCCCTATGCTGCCAAATTCGAAGCTACTCAAATGGAAGTATTTTCTCGAATTCAAATATTTCGCTCTCACACTCTTGCATGAAATGGAAACAAATGAAATAATATGGATACTGTATTAAAGCGCTTAGCTCTCCCACGAAATTGAATCGAAGTTTCTCCTAGATTGCTCATCATCCGATATAAAAGAACACCGCAGGGGCTAAATTGCGCCTTTGACCTAGAATCCGCCGGGCGTAATTAGAATCTACTCGAGCCGAGTGTTCCACGCCACCTTTCCCGCCCCGCCCTGCTCTTGCCCTGCGTTCCCTTAGTTAACTAGGTTACGGCGCCACGTTAAAAGTCGGCCCTTCGCCCAAAGAAGACCATCCTCGAGTCTCCCGTTCCACGTCCCGCCCTATAAGCCCTTCGCACAGCGCGCGCAACCCTGCGGTGGAGAGCAACGGCGCTCGCGACCACACACGACTGAGAGACGAACGTAATGTCACTTCACACTCGGTGCTTCATCAGTGTCCCAGTGCAACGTAAGTAATTGCTCAGAGTGGTAAGTTCAAGGGGCAATAAACTTTCCGAATAGAAGGAATATATTTCCAGAAAACGCCTTTGTCCATAACTACAACACTCGACGTAGTAATTACATTCATCAGGTAACAGTATCAACAGCTCAGTACAAAAAATTCACATATGTACATTATTTTACTCCTTGCCAGATGACATTAAACGATAAAATTCGATACAAAAATTTAATCCCCAAGTAAAATATTTTCTGCTGCACAGCTGCTTCTATACAATTAGCGACTATAATGAGCATCCAAAAGGAAAGTAATATTAACATTTAAAATGACATTTAATGAATTACATAACATTTGGATTGTATACTTGTAAAGAACCTGTAACAAGTATTGTACTTCAGCTTCTGGGTCAATGACCTCCATCTCGATCAGGTTTTCGTCCAGTTTCACTGATCCTTGAGAAAAAGTTGAGATGGCCCCGTGTTTTGCTACTGGACATAAATGTAACTTCGAATTAACTTATCCCTATAGCACGTCATAGCACGTCATACACACTGTTTTGACGTAAATAAATAAATAAAGGTACGAATAGAATCAATAGCACTCTGTATTTAATTAAACACAGAAAGCATACGAACAAAATGTGTAAATATTTTTTTATATTCCAGCATTATAAAATAACCTTTTCTGTTGCAAGAAATCGTTCATAATCGGGCATTTTACGACACAAATGTGACGTATTAGATTTTATGTCATGAATGATTGCATCATCACATATTCAGCCAATTAGAGCGAGAGAATCAGGTGGAGGTAGAGCTAAAACCACCAATATCTGACATAAAATCATGTTCAAGGAAAATTATTTCAGCGTAGATGAACTATTTCTTAAATGAGATTAATTAAACGAAATCATAATGTAATTCGTTTGTTATTCCAGGAACTACTAAATTTCGTTCATTTTTTTTCAGAGGTTACACAGATTTTTCATGTCTGAAAGTGTATCTTCGAAAGAGTCTTCTTTAAGTGTCGAAAAAGAACTCTTTCGATCGCAAAATAATCCAGCGACTGCTTCTGCGTGAGGCTGCCGGAGCCAGTGCAGCGGCGAGAAGGGAGAGACGTAGGCTCTCCGCTTTTTAAGCCAAACGTTGGCGAGCGGCGTGGCGGAGGCTGCTTGCATGGGAAGCGCTGCTAATTTTATCTGCGGCGCTGTACCGCGGGCGGAGCGAGCGCAGATGACGCGAGCTAATTGATTTCGGGCCGCCCATCGCGGGAGCCGACATTTTTGCTGGAATTCTTGCACGCGAAACAGACCGAGATAGCAGGCGGCCCCAGCGGTGGGGGTGACGCAATATGGGACGGAGGGAGAAGGCGGAGGAGGGTTGGAGGGGGCGGGGGATGGAAGAGGGCGTGGGAGGGGACGGAGAGGCTTCCAGCTTGGCAGCCAAGGGCTGCGAACTCCCTCACAGGCAGGTCATGTTCAAGTACCATCACGAAAGTGCAACGGATGTATCTACATTCATTCAATTATTCAGTCATTCAGTCGGTCAGTCATTTATGCATTTATTTATCCATTTAGTCTTTAATTTAACATTCATTCATTTACCTATTAATTCATTT